AACGCTCTATTTAACGCTGAACATTACATTTGTTACCTTTGGATGTTAACAATGCGCCAATCGCTACACATGCCTTCGCCAATTCTTATTACTGGGCGTGGTTCATCGGGCTAAGCCAGTTTACTTGGGGCCGCATTTCTTACATAAAATATTTTTGGTTAAATTAAGGTTCCATCAATTTTATTTTCCAAAACAATAAAAGGTTGATATTTCGTTGATAAAACCCCCGATTAAGTGAGCAGTCAGGTGACTGTCGTAAAAAGCATCGTTAACTCAGAAAGTATTCAGTAAACTATAGTTTAGCAGTGCAAAGAATCACCTCCTACGAATACACACCACAGCCCCTTTCCGAAGCGTCAACATCGCTCATGCCTACACGTCTGATTGCGCATTCATCGCTTATTCCTTCCCCGCTTCTCTTACCGCGAACCGTACTGTTCCGGTAGTTGCATGTTTACTAGTTCAACCGCACTCTCATGGTCAACAGTCTTCCTTTCGCATGTCACACCTGGGCGTGTGGTGAGTCTAGCTTATCCACGAACGTCACTACATTATCGATTTACTTCAGTTCCTGGCATTCTCCCCCTAATTCCCATCTGTGAACAATCCAACTTAGTACTTGTGTCACTGAAATTCTCCAACTCCCATGAGCCAGCTGGAGAGTAGTGTCTGTAGCACAGACAACAGCTGCTCACGCTCACGACCTACAAATGCATGCGAACAGGCACGGATCTACAAACCGAGGTTTATTGTTCCAAAATACGCTGATTTGAAAAAACTTTGAAGGAATTCTTTACAGTGTTACGTTCTTATCGGCCTGATTCCACGGTCTCACCACGCAGAGACAAGCGTTTAATTAGATGCTGATGGAGACGCACGTAAGATTTTCAAAATTTCTGCGACAGGTGGCATCAGTCCACTCCAGTCACATCAAAATAATTGTTGCAGTAGCCTAATTAGGATCCTCAGATTAGTCTGAGTTAAAATTCTAGAAGATCAGACTATTCACGATGGTGTACTCAACGCATTCATTCGCAAGTGATGAATTCAAGCGAAGAAAGCGGGTTACGTTGTAGCCAAATCAACGATTCATAAGTGGTCTGAATAAATCGAGAAGCTTAAAGCAGTTCAGCCTAAGAATAGGATTCAAAGGGCAATTAGAAATAACAGCAATTAACAGGAATAAAACATTGTTGATAAACATGCCACTTTGTCATTCAAAAGCGTTGTGGCTACTGTGAAATAAAGCGGGTTGCTGGTTTTTAAATCCATCGGCTTTCCTTTTCAAAGAGTCCTCCACTCCATTGCTATACCTGATAGCTTAATTTGTATCCAATTGCAGCATAATGTTCCTAACAATGCTGTTTCTAAGTAGACAGAGTGAACCAGATAGTGCGTGGTTGCTATTGGCAGGTTCGCTGCGAAGAGCATTCAGGGACACAAAGTAAATTAATACTATACCGAGACTAAGACGTCCGATTTTCGAATCATTTGGTTATCCAAATCTCAATTATCATTGGTCAGCAAAATTACTCCCAAGGAGACGTCTGTTACATCCTGTTGAAAAATGCGCCTCCGATACATTTTGGAGCTATTTAGCGGCAGCTGGTACCGAAGCCAGAGGTAGATATCAAACTTGCATGAACAAAAACCTTTCAGTCATGCGGTTATCTTAGGGTTCAGTGACTTCACGAGCAGGTGCTGCCACTTTCTTTTAATATTAACGGCCTGCGCTGTCGGGGAGTGACCATCATGGCGCATATAATTCTTTAGATTGGAGAAGTTAAATAGAAGTTACTCGCATTTCCAATTTGAATCGCCAAAATTGAAACATATTTTACTTCAAGATATCAAAGTAGGTAACCGATCTGAACCAGTGGGAAAAAATTGATTCTATCGTGGCAAATAAACTGGTGCAATTGTGAAGGTACCATAACAAAAATAGTATGCGGATGAGGCACAACAAGCAGAAAACTAGTATTTCGAGAAGAAATGTAAAATGATTGAAGTAACAGAAGGAGCTGCGGAATCACTTTAGTATTGGGTTTAAAGTTATTTGAGATATTTGATTCCAGTGTCTTGAATATCTTCACAACACTTTAGAGTTTATCTGTTGTGTCCTGCTTCTCCTCATCATACTGAAGGATTTTTTGACAGTCTATTTACCATTTGGCAGTAGCACTTTATTTCCAAATTTTTAATGTCTCACCTCCCAATAAGCCCATTTTAGCTTGAACGACCTTATAACCCTGCTGCTTAGTAGGCCATAATTGGCCATTTATTTGCGCATTGGGCGAAAAGATGACTCCTGGAAAGGGTTGAAACTTCCACGGCTGTGACCAATTTGCCCCCTCTTGACAATTTAATTCACACCGCTAGACGAAGTTCGATCTAATTGACATTCTTTGCAGTTTTCTCAAAGTCAGAGCTTCAGGTATATTTTGGAGATGTTGGACGACTTGGTCGCATCAAACATGTGCTTTATCAGCTTACTTGATAATTGGTTGGAAATGTTGAAATTAAGGAATGTCCATATCGGTGAGGGAAGAAACAGACAACCACATATTAGATGTCCCTGGCCAAGTTGTGAGCGTCTTACCGCCGCACTTGTAATGAGGCTATTGAGGTGCAGGGAAGGGTGATACATACTCAGGGGTGCTTAAACAGACGGTACCTTACGAGCCGGGGTGACGTCGTGGAAAGGGGACGACGGGAGTCGGCGCACACAACAACAGAATTAATAGACGTGAATCAATACAATTTAACAATTGAGGATTGTGAAACAAAGCCTCACTCTGATGACCTGGGAAAGAGACTGTTTCCTTACTTCAGGGCGATCAAAGACCAATTCGAAGCCGAATCAATGCCATACTAATCATCTGAAACCACTTAAATTAATTGCGTCTTCTCAGTGCTGAGATTCATCCGGACTGCCATATCTCTCACTGGCCCTAATTTGTCGTAGATTTTACTGACGTTGGCTAGTTTACTCACTAACTCCTCAAAATCAGGACTTAGTTTTAAAATTATTACAACATATGGATCAGTGGCTGTCACAAAATAAGCTGTTGTTTGCAACGAAATCGGAAAGCTGCCCAGTTATAAATTTTCTTCCATAGGCTGCCGTAATCCAAAATGCAAATTTTGTCAGCCAGTAGGAAAATTGAAATGTGTATGCTCCGATGCTAACAAATTGCCACGGCAGCCACGTTTGATAAATTTCCCATTAACCTCCGCGAATTGTCTACGCGCCCATTGGCGAATCGCCCTGTTTCAGTAAAATTGTATTTGTACTTGAATCCTTGCATACAAATGCATTCTGAAGATTAGTTATCTGAGGGTGCTCTAATCATTGAGCTAAAATTACTTTGCTAGTACATCAGAACTAATAACTAAGAATGCCATTTTTTACGATTATTAACGGCTACTCCAGCCGAACGCACACGACCAATCAGTAATATGCAAATCGTCATGCACTGAATATAACGTCGGTAAAGTACGAGAAATTGCAGAGGCATCTGATAAAGATAAGCGAAGCGTTACATTTGCACAATGTCACAGTCAACTAGGCAATGTGATCATTGAGCTTATATAAGCCTTGGCATAGACAATTTGATAATGCAAAATTTCAGATTCAGTTCTAGTATAGATAAACTCAAACTTCAGTCGACATGATTGGTAATTGTCAACGTTAATAACGTGATTATGGACTTAGATTTTTAGGGCCGATCGAAGCGACCATGGCGATCGACTGCGAAAGATATTTATTTTTTCACAAAAGGACAAATTAACTTAAGTGATCACCATGGATAGAGGAAGTTCGGCTCCATAACCGTCCGAAGTGTCCTAATGTCTTCATTTTACTACCAGGAACCTACTTTTTATTAACAGTTCCAGGAAATTTATAGGATAAACATTTCACCATGTCAAATTCAGTCACCATAGTAGTGAAGACCATTGAGTTTCACAAAATTATTGAAAAATGACTAGCTAAATTTCATCAACTGAAAGTCGAGTGTAACCGATGATTTCGTATTTCTTTAAGCTCGAAACTGATTTAAATCTGCTTGGAGCTATAACGACAAAATCTCGCTATAGTAAAGCGAAATGGCCCATAACAAAAGTTCAACTAGTGATGTACATGATGTCGGGCTGATTCCTATGAAAGCACACATCGCCACCCCACGCAATTAAATAACCGTCCACATGGAAGATTCATACAGGTTAAGAAACAGAGGTCGGCTACGACAAATGCACCCACAAAGTCCTGTAAAGCTGAGATGAGTGTGGCCAAGTGCACAGAACGAAAACCATGGCTCAAGATACTGCACACGGTCTAGTCACCTTGTATTTTAATCTGGCTAACCAATTACAGGGAAGTGTATTTACAGGCCAGTGATTGCGTCAAAATAGATAACTCTACAGGCTGTTACAGACACCAGGCGAATTTTTTGGAAAGCTGCATTTAGAAGAAGCAACATCCGTGGGAGCATTCTTACGAAGTGGCATCCATTGACACATAGACATTGGCTAGATCTGACGACTTTTAAAGGATTAGACTCGGGGGAAACCTAGCCAAGATCTACTTTGAAACCCACTTCACCTTCCAAGGAAGGGCAAAATAAAACGCCTGGACCAAGTGTCGCTGGTCGACGGTACCACACTTTGTCATGCTACTAAAACCCCAAAACGCTCCTTAGATGGCTGCCCAAAGTCATGTTGGATTGATTGAGATAGCGAGAACCCCTGCTGCAAACACAACGTAAATTGCAACCTAAGCAGTGATTGTTGTTTAACGATTGCCTGCAATTTGACAGGTTTACCTCTTGGCAGCATGTTGTCTTGGAGACGTGTGTTATAGTAGTGAGACCCTAATGCCATTTTCACCCAAGAGAAAAATTTCTTTCTTGAATACAGTTATTAGTTTGTGTGTGCAAGTGAATCTGACAATATCAGACGATAATACCAATACAAAATACAAATTGAACGCAGAGCGTCAATCACATGGTTCTGGAATGGGCCCACTGGGATAATTCAATGGGGCAGCCCGGGTACGCGTCCAGGCAGGCCCTAATCAAAGGCGAGGTGACGAAGCAGGAGATGGGCTGGAAGTTCCGGAGTTGGCCCGGCAGATTGGCAGTCATAAGAAACGCGGACGATGCCTTCCTCCCCTTGGCTCCAGCATTGAAGCCGACGCCTCCACTGGCCATGGTGGCGAGGGCCTCTCGGCCAGACACAACTAGCTCCTGTTCTATGAGACTATCCAATGCCTTCGAAACCACGGCTTTTTCATACAGGTAGCCCGGGCAATACGATTTGCAGAAACGTGTGTATTCTGAGGTGAAAAGGCCAATGAATAACCCCAGTTGCAGTACACGTGAAACAAACTTAAGGCATTGGCAGCACAGATAATGATGTTTACAACAACGAAAAACCATGGGAAACCTTTACACTTGAGACAATTACCGCGAAAGACGACTTCGAAGTTAAGCGGCTCGCCTTCACGAATTTCATGGAGTTTCACCATCGTTGTGATTAGGATGAGTTCCAACAACGAAAGACCTAGGGGGAAGCAGTGGGAATTTCACGACACATAAAAAAAGACTTTCTGAATTCACTGTATCATGAAAACGGGTTTTGGCAATCTACACATGGCAAAGTAGATTGACAACCACGTATAACACTGCCTGAGTACTCTTAACAAATCACAAGACAAGCGCCCTTAAATGAACCTGTACATGAATAGACATACTGGGCAACAGTGCAGTCTTCGCATCCTGTCTCAGTCGAGAGAGCACCTCAATGAAATCCTCGGCGTCGAGTGTGGACTTGGATTGGTCCAATCGTGCAATTAACAGAGCCTTGGAAAAAAATTACTAGTATATACCGGGGACTGGGGCATAATTTAAACAAGGCTTTGCAATGTGCACCAGTTAGACAACTTACCATGACATTTCGCAATTTTCCAATGCACGTTGATACTTCCCATGTCTGCCGAAGGCAATCTGTCACTATTTCGCTTTCAAAGAACTCATTCACATGAGCGTTCCAATCTCCCACGGCCTTGTGAAGTTTCCATTTGGTTAGGGAGTGGAAGTTGACGTTGGATTGCGCAAATTCGGCCAACTCTTTCGCGCTGTGGACTGTAAGGAGGCTCCGAGCCACGTCGCAGTAGCGCTTAAAGGGACGAGACGCGCCTTGTGTTGTATCGTCTTCCTCCTCCTCCTCCTGCGTGTTGTCGTCGGCCATTGAAGTATCCTCATAAAGAGGCGCAGCTACGGAAACGACGTGAAGTTGACGGTGGGAAAAACGTGACTTAACACGTTTCTCAAGCATCTCCATCACATCCTCAAATGACAATAAAGAACTTTGTGGAAACAACGAATTTTTCTATTCAACAAATCAACTTAGGAGGCAAAAGAACCCACCGACAACCAATTTCACGTCCAGAAACGTTATCAGAAACGCTAAATAAACATAAAGTTGGAACCGCCTTAAGCCATGAAATTAGTCAGACTCACTGCTTAGACATCAAATTCAAAAACTTGATACCCGATTAAGCGTTCTTGGATTCCTGCAAACAACCAATCACCATTCTTTTACGCACACACCAATTTTTTGCATAAGAGGTAGCGGGTAGCTTCCACTTTTTCAGGTTGTCACTTATAGATCCATTGAAGTTCTCCACAACGGGTGACGTATAGCCGGGTACAAACCGCAGAGAATCGAAATGGGCACACAATAACTATCAGCGTTCATTTTTGAAACTTCCACAAACCCATACAAGCATTGGTGAAGATCTACTCTTGACTCTACCTAACAAAGGCGAGAACTCGTCTACAGGAGTCTAGATCACACCGTATCTCAATAACGCACGACGCGCCAGCCTCATTCAGATTATTTTTAAATCCAACAGCCGAAGTGTGAGAGTGTTTAAATAGAGCATTGTAATGACGAATAGCGCATTACCAGTCGACAGGTGACTCCAATAACGCAGACTGGTGTTCCATCCGCATGGCAGCTGGTATCAAATAGGTTGTACAGCAGCGCTTGGTTTCGGTGGGTTGCAAACAGGTCGAATTCATCGAGCACCACAACAAGGGCCTTTGACGCCACACTGTCACCGGCGCGCAAGCCTGAAAGAAGCCAACGCATTTGATCTGAGAAGTTTCGTATTCGAGATTCAACAAGGGCGTTTTCCTTGTCTTCATCTGATTCATCTACCGTCAATTCCTCCTCTTCCCGTTTTATGAGTTCTGCTTCAGAGACGCTGGGACAGACACGTTGAAGTTGCTTTGCGATTGTGTGCAGAGCAATCCGATCGTTGGTATGAATGAGACCTGGAGGTTAGTAACCAAAAGGCATTTATAATGTGGTTAGCATGCATATGTTCGCTCAAATCAGATACTAAACTTTGACACAGATACGAATTGATGAATGTGTTGTTCAGGAAAAAACAACTCTACTTGTCCTAATGAACCAAAACAAAAGCAAAAAATGAATGACAACGATGAGCTGACTGGGCATGCCGACTTGACTTGCCAATAACACTCAATTGTGACAAAGATTTCAAAATAGAATCTGTTTAGCGGTTTTAATACCTATTTCGTTAGTTTGTTCGTAAAGAAAGGCACGGTAGAAGCTACTTACCATTAATGTATACTTCAATTATGTTACTTTTCACTTCCGCGTCAAGCTTCGCTCTCTTTATAGCTTCTCGCAGTAACTTAACAGAAAACACCACCGTAGTAACAAAGGCATAAACGAATGAAAATTTTAATAAGTATATACAATCACAGAAATACACAACTATTTTTGTGATTTTGTTCGTTAATGAGGACAAGCTTACATGACTTTTGCCGCTTCCCCTGCGGCCAATGATGAGCATCGAGTTACTGACACCATTGACTACAGTGTCACGAATTGTGTTAAACACAGAAGCAATATCTTTCTCGGGAAAACGAGGTTCGTGAGATGATGTAAATATTCTGTCCCTTAAAAAAGCCTTTATGGCTTCCATCACCTAGAGGAAAAGATGAAAGATCAAATGTGAGATCAATGAAAGATCAAATCACACAGTAAAAAGACAACCATGAAAATAATATGGCAAAGCGGGCACCTCGGATTTGGGTTAGCCCGAAGCATGGTGAGATACGACTACAGCAACGCAGACGTCCGCAAAATTGACGATGCAAAAACCACAATTACAAAAGCAAACAGTTCATATCAAGGTTTCATTTTGAGAAAAAAGGAAACGGAATTAACAAAAAGTGTACTCCGATGGCGAACTTACAAATCTCATAGATAACACGAATTTACCTGACGGTTTATACCTTCCCAAAACTACTCTACATGAATCAATTTTTGACAATCATTGCATTTAAGCTAAGTCATGATTGAGGGGCGGACCTTTACAAACGCTATGTATATAAGCTGGGACTGCAAAATTTTAGTTGCTTAACAACGAAATATATTTGTTTCCTGATACAAATCGTTCAAGAAAAAAATTGTCCATATCGCCAGGATCCTCAAATAACCAGTTTAGCGATTCTTATTTGTAATGAAGAGAAATCTGCGTCAGCAGACTGCTGATACTAGCGTCATTGTTTCTTTATGTCAAGGGCCATATGAATAAGCACAAAGAAATTTAAAACAAGCAGGCAGAAGGACAAAAATTGCTAACTACAGGGTAACTAAATATAATGTGGAGGCTCAAACATGACAAAGACTTAAGATTACAAAAATATGAGATATTAAACGAATTTTTTTCTTGCACTACAGATGAGAATCATAACACCGCAAGCGGATCAAGTACACGTAATCAAGGAAGGCTCCAAAGTCAAAGACTACGGATTCAAGTAACTAAAACTTGCTTGTGAGGTAGGCAACAAATTTACGATAAATATTACGGGGTATTGTAATTTTTATGTAAAATTTAGCCCAGAAAAGCAAAAATATTTCGTGGCAGGAAATTTAGTGTAGGTGAATAATGTTTCATGCAGACAACCCTTCAGACAGATAACGAAATACTGAAAAATTATTAGGCTATTTATTGAGCAGATAAAAGGTATTTTTATTGCTAGTAATTTGTGTCATAAGATTAGAGAGTATGTAGCACAAATTATTAGTTCTAGCAATCCTTTCCAAACTAAATTATTTTTAAAATGTGTGAAAAATTGTGATTCGCAGCGAACTTATCATCTTTATTGGCAATTTTGACTTAAGGCATTGCCTTCTCTTGAAATTAAACTTTTTGGCTACTTTAACAAAAACATTTTTATTTCGGCGTGGACAAATTTAAATTAAATATAGAAACATGATACGTCTTAGGCAGCGATCAGCTTTGCAAGAAATTTTCTTTTCTTAAGTGACACTCTGAAAGCGCCTAAAATTAATATGCAAATTTAACACAACTTTTTACTACCAAAACAAAGATTTAAATAAATGTAACACAGCGGCATTTTTTAATTAAAATTGAGATCTGAAACGTTTTACTGATCAACTTTTTAAGGTAACTAGATTCGCATAGGTTGACCTACGTATGGGACATCAGTGAGGTGTCTGACAACCTTGAGCAGGCAATGCTATGTCTTCGTTTCTTTCCTCTGTTTCTAAACAACAGCAACAGCATAAACAGGAACTTAGTATCTATAATGAAGTTCTGCAATCTTATTGGAAACGTTGTCTAAATAAATCAAACCAAAGCACGTGCCAACATTAATATTAATAACCTTTTAGATGTCAAGGACACCTCGGAGATTTCCTGTTATATTGTGCTTATTGCAAAGCTGCTTCAAAGCGAGAAATTTATTGTGCAATCCGAGTTAGGGAAACCTATTCACGCTCTCTTTGATTTGGCTATTGAGATGAAATTATTTGAGCAATTGAACGAAATGCTAGGCCGATTTCATGGGGACAAACTTGAAACATTGAAGGAAGCCTGTCTTCAGTTCTATGAGGACCTTATCACGTGTCCTTTTTATGCTCTATTTCTGAAGGAAGAGGTAATTATGGAACCCTCCATTGTTTGACTTTTCTCCTGTGTTTATATGTTCATTGATCTTCGATTCCATATTTATTTTAAGTTTTTAGTTCCGATGATGTGTACAATGTACCTTTGCAGTTGTCATTCATCTCGGCATACCGAATACATGTTTCTTCAAACCCTTCATTCCATATGTGTCGCGCTCCATCAGCAAGCTCAAGCAACTGCTGAGGATAACGCCGTACTCGGAACAAAGTCCAAAGATATTTTTTGGTCAGTTTGCCTCAACCCCCAAAGCCATGTCCGAAAGAGTCGTTTCTGCGATCCTAATAAATCAGTCGCCATTTCAGATAAGCCTTCTATGTTTAAACCTTCAGAAGGCTCTCAGATTGCATTTACCAATAATTACAGCTCCCGGCCAAGCAAAATTCAGCCCATTTGTGATTTGCTTGTCACCTATGTTCGTCATGACGGCAGTTTGAGTTGGCTGTCGCGTGACGCCTTGCTCCTTTTGGTTGCGACCTCTGCTGCTGATGAGAACGCTGGTTTCCATATGGCAAACAATTCAAATTTGTGTGAGGTAAATGTTCGTCCAAATATTTTTTGATTCAATAAGCTCCTTTAAACCAACGGATTTACTGCGCGTATGCGTCACTTCTAGGTTCTAGTGACGGACATGGTATTGCTCTTCAATAGAATGCCGCAACGTCTTGCAACGAGTAATTGCATCGATCAATGGCCCTCGCTTCTTCAGGCGATTAAAACTGATGAAGACCATTATATGCACAATTTTTTGGATCATTTTGAGTTCTGCCGTTCCATTCTAGACGTACGTTTTAACCTTAATATGTCTGCACTAGCTTTGTGCGGATTGACGAATATGCAACTGCTTTATATGCGGCAGTGCGTAAAATTGGTTGCTTTAACGTGATATTGCTTCACTCAGGTGTGGTGTTTGTTTGTTTGTTTTATTGAAGGTTATTATATTTCCTAAATTGTATGAATTCATTATGTAGATATCAAACTACTTGGTGAAAAAAAACATGTTGGACTGTCTGTATCGAGGCTTCCTCTTACCTGTATTGGCACCTGGGCTTTTAGTGGTGAGTTTGGTAGCTCAGACTATCGATGTCCGTTTGTCTTTTGAAACATTACTTGAGTTTCATTTCAGTCTTCGGAGCCGGCATTGGCCACGGCAACCATCTACCTCGAACGCATCCTTAAAGAGTCCAAAGGCAGCATACTGCTCCCCTTCATCTTACGTTTTCTCTTCTCGGAGCCCCAATCGCAGACACCGAAGGAGTTGACTTCGCACAATTTCTGGCTGGGTGTAACACAGGCTCTGGAACAGTCCTTTCCACTCTCTGAGGCGTCTTTTTACCATGGAATGACTGGCAGCATCTCGGGTACCCAAACTAAGTCTTATATGGATGTGCTACTTAAAAGAATCCAGTACTGCAACACTCTGGTGAGTTCGACTCCCAAGTTCTCGTGTAACTTCATCAATTTGGGATGTCACGAGTGTCCCGTTGTTTGTCAGTTAGCCATTCCAACTTGGGCAGGCATTTCATTTCAAGTAATTATCTATGACCCGACTCTGGATAGAACTTTGTATTCCGGTTAGTACGTAGTCTCAAACAGGCAAGTGATAAATCTCATCATTCGCATTAGACCCCACACGACTTGTTCAGCGTAAATACCAAGTTGTGTAATATTTTGCAACCTCCTGGTGCTTCGATGATTTGCGAGTGGGTCTGAATTATGTTTCTCCTCTGCATAGGTGGCCTAAGGGAGTAATAGAACCAATAAACACTTTTAATGCTTTAATAAGCCGGCCCTTTTCGGTTTCCGTTGGATTTGCCCCACCAAAGATAACTTGTCGTCGATGGAATTCCGTCTTTTGCGTCATGGAACCAAACGATGTTCTAAAGTGGCATAAATCTCTGTACATTTTAACCTGAAAACTAGGCTTTATAAGGTTCTCTTTGATCACTAAGGCCAATTAAATACCCGTGTCAAGTTTCAGTGTGAGTATCTTCAAGCATCTTGTAAGAAATACTCTGGAAGACTGATATCTTACTAATTAAGGCAGTCATTCGGTTTCTTATTCGCATTTTTTGTAGAGGTATGTTAAATTGCTTTTTAATTATACAGTTCTTTCTTGACATTTCCTAAATTGGTACCACGCAGTAACACAGTATTCTCAGACATTTCGGAGTGTTGTTTGAATGTGATTTTGCCATGTGTCTGCTCTGGAGATGTTTCGCACTGTCTGATAATGGAAGGGAAAAAACGAGAGCATTCCCTGGTCTTTTTTTACTCTTCGTAAGTTAAATTTTTGTTGAAACATGCTACTTTGTGCCAATCAATATGTAAAATTCAATTATGTAGGTGCTTCAATGCCTTCTCTTCTTTGTATTTTCCACAATTTTACGTGTTTTTTCTTCAAAATTCGAACTACTTGGGGAAACTGGAAATGTCTTTGAAATTAACAGTAATCGTAGCGAGCTAATTTCGTTCATCACTCTTGCTTATCAACGTTCCGTTTTCTGCGATTCTTCAACATCCTTACCACGCAACCGACTTCAATGTCGTTTTTTTCAAGTGATTCTACTAATCTCACCTGCCAACCAATCACCTCTCGAAACTGTTGCCATGGCAAAGTGAGAGGTGACACCTTCTTATGTGTAAGAAAAGTGTCGTTCGACATTCATGCACCGCCCCCAATTTCGTCTGTTTGCCTCTTTCCCGTACATCCTTCCAAACCGCTGTCTAAAAATCGCATTTTCCAGTTACGCACAAACTGTTTTCCACGTTTTGATTATGATCGTCCGTCCGTGTACTTTCCTCTGTAATTTCACCGACACTTGAATTTGTGTTGGGACGTTTACAAAGCGCGTGGCAAACTTGTTGCCTGGGTTCCTTTTTTATACCATGCCTCTTAACTCTCGTCGCGAAATGAATGCGGTGCGTCACGCAAATTGCTAGCTTCTCCAACAGTTTTACCAGCCAAATGTGACATTCGTTTCGAACTGTTGTTTGATGCATCTCAAACTTAAACCGTTTAAACCGACTTGAAAACCATTTTCTCGATTTCTGTCTAAGTCATTTTTCATTGCCGAGGGATGAAACTGGTGGTCACTGTCCAAAGGTGGTGCTGGTATTGACGTTAGGCCTCTTCGAGTACACGAAGAGGTTAGGTGATTAATCGTCGAATTAAATTAGGCGGAGGTGTAAAATCTAAATAGTGAAATGGACTAGGTTCCTGGGAAGAGATTCATCACTGCGATTTCAGCTGATGCCTTGCGTTTAATGAGAAGGTCCGAGCCACTAAGGTCTCGGCTGTTTTAATTGGCCCAATCAAACTCTATTTGGTGTACCAGATTGCGCGAGAGTACATTGACTGGTTGGACGACACATAAAGATGTAATTGGAAGGTTAGAGATTGCCTGGTGGACACAAATGAGTGCAGTTGTGGAGTCGAATGTCTTGTGAGCCCCACAAGTCTGCACCAAGTCGCGAACTCACTAAAAATTGACGCCTGAGAAGACAAAATCCTTTCAACTACTGCCAGTTTCGTCTATTTAGAGCCCTACACTCGGCATTGTTCCATTAAGTTTCGCTTAATAAATCACGTTTTTCCTAGGTTGGTGTCGCCACGCTTTCGCTGATGAACACAATTGTGGATCTGCTTTGTGAGGACGTCGCTTTTGAGCTAATGCTGAGGTTAGCACTTTTTGGTTTATAGACTGACTTGTGTTTATTTTTCATGGTAACTGAGTCGATCTACTGTTTTACTATTGCCATTACTTACATACGTGCGTTCGGCTGACGAATTGTGCGTTGACAATTTATTTAAAACTCACGAAATGCAGGAGGGAGTGGTTGTAGTCAGGTGTACACTCCCGTATTCCTTTCCCTGTCGCCTTAATCGTATTCCATTGCGTGTCCACGTAATATGTGTTTGGTTACCACAAGTCTGTTATATCTCTGCCTGGTTGAATTTCTACCTGCCCTGACCTGTCTGAATATGTTAATAAAACTGATGCCGTAGGTCCTTAGACAAGCTAATAGCCAAGTAGGATATCTCTTAACCATTTGGTAAACGTACTTTTAGTTAATCTATTTTTAGATTTTGCCACATTTTCGGCTGTTGATTTGTTGAACTCGTTTCTCTTCTATGATAGGCCCCTATTTGACGTATCTGATTGGGTATATCCAGGTCCCATAACGTCCGAATCCGATTGGTCGTTAATGTAGCCTGCAGCCAATCGCATCATTTTGAAGCCACAAACATTAAAAACTAAAATAAAAGCAAACTAACAAAAGGTTTCGTTACCAACGTGAATAATGCTAGCACCAAACAACTTCCTTTTGAAGTTCTTTGGCTTCCTTTTGTTTTGAATGCCAACAGATTAAATTCGAGGAACACTGTTTTTCTCTCCTCTAAAAACATTTCACTTTACATGATCCGCAAAATGCCAGTGTTTTTTGTCTAATATACGTTATAGGTTATTGTGGGTTGAGATTTGGTGTCTTAATTTGAAGCCACCTCCACTCCGGCTTGGTTGACTGTTGCGTCAAAAATAGGCAATGCAACGTAATGCAGAACGAAAGCTCTTGGTGTAAAGGTCACAAATCTCACCGACGCAGCGGCAAAATGTCAATTTTACGAATCTGGAGCCTTGTTTCACTCAAATATGTGTGTGGGGGTGCTAGACGTGTTCAAGTGCACAAGGCTTAAAGTACCGTTTCATAGCTTCTCGTAGCAAAAATCAAACGACTCCTACGCCAATGCAGGCACTGTTCACAATCTAAGTGCGGTTCCTCTGTGCCTTGACGGTGACTTCAGCATCATTCTACAGTCACCAGTCAGCAGATCACTTTTCCGGGAACTTATTCGTGATGTTCTGTAATATACGTATTTGCCAGGTCCAAAGAACTACACGAAATTCCAGTCCACAACTACTATCTCTCGTTCTTCTCGGCTATCCATCAAATACTTGACAGTCGCACCATCTTGTCAAGCACGTAAAGCAGTCACGTTCCTGTTTGCTGTGAGTAATAGCTCAACAGCTTCTGCTGTGTATGGCAGGACCCCACGTGTCACTCTCTGGTAGTTTCCTTAAACCTCACGCAAGACATTTTATAACCTAGGGGCTTCGTTCGGCGATAGTTCTCGTTCTGATGTAAACTAGCCTTAACGTCATTCTGGTGTAACGTGTTAACTAACTAACCCAATTTTTTTGCTCTTAAGTTTTGTTCCGTTCATGTGTGGGGTGTGGTTGTGTGTGCGCGTGTGCGGTAATTCCGTACTCACTAATCAATTTAGAGCGCCTCCATGTAGTCTACCCACTTAAAAGTTGTTGACTACGATTGCTTATAGAATTTCTCATTTCAATTTAGTTACTTTTTGTCGTTTGGAGTCGAAATCACTCCCTACGAATCGAAATCGTTTGCCGGAGTGTCATAGAAGTCCGGTAGTGTAACAAGTCCCTTTCAGTCTGTTGGGTAAACTGCACGATAATCGAGCTATCTAGTGAATTGCAGCCATGTTTGTGGATTATACTTCTCTTCATGGGTAATTTTTATTGGCTACGCCTTTTTTGCTGAATTTCAAACTTGGCCTTGCCAATGGAATTTCGTTATTCGAAACGACGGTTGTCTTTCATCCGAATTCGTCTGGGGCGTGTAGGCGGGAAGATTAACGAAAAATCTGACAAACCCAGGCAACAGCTTGGTAGCTCTAAAAAGAAATTTTGAAGAGGTTAAATCGACGCCACTTAAAACCCCTCCCACACAGAGCACATGCCTTTTCCTTGGCAGCGACTTTCACAACATGAGGTGAATCGGCGTTCGTGGAATGCAATTCTCACCAACAAAACCTTATTGCTAGCTTCAATTTCAAGCGGAACTTCCACTTGACATTTTTCCTGTGTGGTCCTCTATCCTGCGGCTAACCAAAATGCAATTACGTGGCGTCAACCCCAGCTGCGTGATGGCAAAATCTGGCTCAAATATCATGGGAGGAAATGTTCTCTCTTGGCATTAGCTTCTTCACAATGGAGGAAGTACGCAGTCATAAACAAGGCCAGGTCTCTTGTTATTGGCCACTTTTTGTACTGCATTTAAATCTGTTGCCTTTATCAGGGGGTTGTCAACTAAGGCGATGCCTGTCTTCTCGCTCTCTCATTAGGTACCTCATCCCATTGGCAAACGACACCGCCTTGAAGGTTAAAGTGAGCACTCCAGAGTCATTTTTTGCCTCAGCCAATGAATACCTCGCCCTCATTCCGCCGTACTCCTCAATCACGCCGCATCCGCATCAGCCGTTAACTCGCGACAACGATTGGTGCATCTTTCAGAATGGCGATCTCTCGTCTTCGCACAGTAAGCGCTCCTTTCCACTCATTGGACGTCTGCTGCTTTCAGGTCATTTCTGCTTCCGGGTTGGTGGAGACGTGGATGTGTTGGAGCCACTTGGGATTGAAGCGGTGGTTTTTCCTTAGACCAATTCGTACTGTTTTTGCCCTGGCCAAGGCGATGCCCTACTGAAATTCCTACTTTGCTAAATTAAGGTTTTAACAAAGAATGCGAGTGTCATTGAAATCTGCAGTTGCGTACGCGGTAACACCTACCTGGTTCGAAACACGGAAATTGATAGTATTCCTGGAGATAGAAGTGACTCGATTTAGGTCGGTAGATTATTTAGCCTCCTCTTTAACGTAGGTCTTTAGCTCACACACACAACCAGGGTTGAAATTTAAGAACGTCGTTCTGCTGCATTGTCGTTTTATGGGTAAGCTTGCATGATTAACATCAGTCATTTCATTTGGCCTAATAGAAGAAACCGTGTCGAGTACCAGCACTGACCAGTAATAGTTCTCATTGGTTAATTGTGGTATAGCAATGCCATAACAGAATCGCACGTTATATTTTCTCGTGAGTGATTTTAGTATGTAGATAATCTCGATTTGTTTATAGTCGAAATAGCTTCATGAAATCATAACATTGTCTTGTAGTACAGTAGTTTTAAGTTGCACCAAAGCACCTTTTGGCGTTGTCGTGTCTTTAGTTGTCCGTGCGTCTGGCAAATTTATTCATCAATTTAATTAAGTAATTTGGTATGCTAAGGAATTATAGTTCACAAATACTGTAATGTGTGCTTTTCAGTGGTCTGAATTGCATTTCCATACTAACAGTAATGATTTTGACTTGACCAATGGGCTGAAAAAGATTCACAGGGTCCTCTGGAGTGATTTGCTTTCATTGTAGTCGACGATGGGCTTTTCGCGAGGCTGGACGCTCAGGAGGATGCGGCACGTTGCTACGAGCGGTCGACAGCCAGGCGACGAATTCTCGGTTACCTACGAGAAGCGCGAAACCTCCTGAACGAGCGCAAGGCCGCCTGCAGTGCCTGGCGTTTCCCCTATGATTTCGACAGCCCCACCCTAGCACAGGTGCGAAAGTAACGCTCTCTTCCTCTCTTTGGCTAATCCGTGCAGACCAGGTTCAAATCCTGGATCACGATTGGCTTCAAAAATAGTCGATCGCTGATTGGTGGCTGTCATGAGGTTTAATTACCGCGCTGATGCAACGGCGTAATCGTAAACAAGCTGATGATGTTGTGAATAAATCAAGGCTCTTATCGTGATGTTAGTTGCGTTGCTGTAGTTTTTCCGGAAATATCGTCAAACACATGTTCCTAATTTCCGAAAACACGACTTATTGGAGTTCAATGGCTACCGTACATTTCTAAATTACGTTTTGAACTTAAATTTCAAATCGCGTTAAACGGCCGTCTTTTATTATGGTCATACTGCTGAACTTTTGTATGGTTATTGCATAGTTTGACCACACGATATTTGGGCTTCTGACTTTGGTAGTATTATTCTGTTTCCTGAATTCATGATTGTCTAATGATAATTGATATCGCATTACATAAGCAGATTTACCACACGTAATCGCTTCAAACGTTGCCTGTCAGTAGTGTGGCCATATTTGGTTGTAAGACCTCCTTCGGTCCTTTCCACAGGCGTCGAACGCTCAACTTAGCGAAAACCTGTGCACGCCATTGCCCCAAGAAGGGCTTCCAGTAGTCGGAGACCCGTTCGATGCCACCACCAGGGAGGTGGTTAGCGGCACTCGTGGAGACGTGCTTTACGACCGTAGTCAATGGGAACTTGATGGTCTTGCTCAGGTAATGGCTCAGCCCACCGCCGTCCCGCCGAACGACGAGGAGGACTCGATTCTGGCCGATCTGGAACGCTTCAGCGCTCTTCTACGCGATCCTCCACCCACGAGGTACCTGCGCCGCACCAAGTCCCACGCCAATTCGCGTCGCCATCGAAGCCAACCTCGGCCAGTCCCAGACCCGGACGAAGTCAAGCGGACGTCCTCGCTCTACGATATTTCTTTCATCGAAATGGACGTCGACGAGACAAGCGAAGGTGCTGCTCCGTCGTCACCACCACCACCACCTTCGACAATGATGCCGGATCGTATGACCCAATCCGTCGATGCGCCGTTGCCTTTGGCCTCCTCCGCGTCATCGGATTTGAGTTTGACCGAGTCGACGACGCATCAGTACTGCGACCTGCCCGCTGGCGTGGAAGCCATTGGAGACGGCGGGATTCCTGCTCTACTCCTCTACTTAGACAAGATTCCTGACAGCGCCGCACCGCACAACGACGTGGAGGAACGCTTTGCCAGATGCATCAGTCGTTTTGACAAGGAAAAGAAGCCCGAGGCAGAACTAGACTCGGGATTCTCTAGTGTCGATTCCGGCCGACTGAAACCGACCGTGCTTCCAGACAGTGAAACCGTTGATTCTCCCACCTTTAATCCGGGTAAATGGTAGACCTTTCTTTTTCATTTAATAGGTTGAAGTTTAAAATGGGAAATTAAATCCTGTTCTATTCAGTATTGAGTCACTATGCTTGTGTAAATACAAATTCTTGGTGTTCAAACCAATCAGGTGTCTCGTTTCTAGGTCCGTTTCTTGCAACCTTGATGCAGTTGGTCTCGCACATTCCTAACAATCACCTCTACGCAAACCTGCTGATCACACGTTTGGTGACCCAGGTGATGGCGCTGCCGCTGCCCCTGACGCGGGTCCTCCTTCTCACCACGGGCTTCTGGGAGCCGCAGGTGTCCGTGGTTCGACCGTACGAAAACCGCCACGGCGGCCAGCTCTACTCCATCCTGTTGGCTGTGCGTCAGTGGTTCGATTGCTACATCAACCTCTACTTTCCGCGTGCCTTCAATCACGGCCCGGAGGAGTCGAATTTTGCGAGTCTGGCCAACTCTGTCAGGATGGCAGTTTTCTCCGACACGGAGGCTGGCAGTTCGATTTGCAACGGGTTATGTGAGCCGATTTTGCGAAAAGCATTGGTCCTCGTGTTTTCCGGATAACCTATTTGCACGCTGCTAATGGTTTTTTCACCCTCTATAGACTCAGAACCACTGAGAAGGGTGAAAAAGAAGTCGTGGATAGCCGGTCTCCTCCAGAAAAAATCTGGCGTGAATGCGCTCCCAGCCGAGGCTACCGTCGTGGTGGATCGGCAACCGCGCGTCTCCAGTCGGCCAGCAGACTGTCTCAGTGTTGACGCTTTCAACCTCGTCAAGGACGAGAAATCACACAATCTGATAATTTCACTTTTGATTTTCGAGGAGTTCTGCCAGGAGTTGGCAGCTCTTTGCATGGAGCATGGCGTCAATTTGTAGTCCGGTTCTCGCCTGTACATCTCCTCACTTCCCCTCCGCCCTTACTTCGCATATCCCATTCGGCTGTGAATACTTTGCCATGCTAATATCGCCCTCCATTTACCACTCTTTGTGTCTTAGGATTTAACTTTTGTGGTAATAAATTTTAAGCGAAAAATCATTGAATTGAACTGAGGTGACTAACGTTGCGCACTTCTTAACGTGGCAAAGGGATAGAACAACTACTCGAGGTGCTAGTTTCGATGCTCGCAGATCGCCAGTCGTCTCAGGCCGCTCCCGCGAGTACGTCGTCAATTGACGGCCTCACCAACAGTATCTCGGAGTTCTCCTATGACCCGGAGAATGGCGTAACGTTGAAGTGAACTGAGCTTGCTAACGTTCCACACTTCTTACCGTCCAGCATAGGTTCGCACGAACCCGGTGTTCGTTCACCGGCTGCATTTTCGGCAGTGTCTATTCACCGGGCGCTGACCTGCGTTCACAACTCTGCCGTTTAATTTGGCTTAATCCCTTGCTGGTGGCCTATTGTTGTTAGGAGACGCTATAAGAATTCTGCCTTTGCTGTTTTGGGTCGTCAGTCGGGAGTTCGATGCACACTGACACGTTTGTCCCAAGACCATTGTGGAAGTTAGATTTGTAGCGCGTTGAAATGCCGCTGCTAAACCTTCCAACTTACGATTCCAGTCCGTTTGTACACGACCACACGCAGTACACAGTCATCCCTTTGCCGACGTCGGTTGATGTGCTTTTAGTTTTTTTCTTTGCACAATAAATGAATGAGGCAAACCTCGCCGTAGGGTTTAGGCACTGATGGCATATTTTCATCTATTTTGAAGTCATTTTTAACGAAATTCGGAATTTGTTTCAAATCTTTTTACCCGAGGATATTTTAATGATTATATTGGTAAATTTTTCTGTTCGCCGCGACGTCTGTTCCCAGGTCTTCGTTCTCTCCTACAGCGCAAGCAGTAACGAAGAACAGACAGTTAACGTCCTCACTTAACGGGGTAACTAAACGAGGGATTTTAATTAGCGGTTTGCAAAATAACCGTCCCGAGTTTTTTTCATTTTTAAGTGAATTTTGCCCGAGTTGGGAGTGAGTGTCTTTTGCCATTTAGGATCACGCAGCTGCGGTTGTTTTAATCTAGTTAAATTCCAGGTAGCGCGAATGTGACACAGCAGGCGATGGTAAAAGGAAACATTTGCATCTTATCGGTGGTGATCATGTTGTGTGTTTAAACTACATCAGTTCTGGCCAGAGTATCTGTGTTGTCAAGTTGATTTTAACGTACTAACGTGCAGCTAACTAGTCACTTTGGTAAATTAGAGGAAGCCTATAATTTGCATTTAGTTATTTGTGATACCAAGCTCAGTTTTCAAGCAATAATTCCGACCGTGATAGCAGAAACGAAACGAAAGCTATCCAGTCAAGCAATTGTGTCGACACACCGAAATTTCACGTATGTATCAGAAGTAGCAAGCAGTGTACAAAGGCGCAATGAAATACAGCACTTAACGTGGTTTATACACTCAGGCTTATTAAATCCTTTAACCCATGAACACCTTTTGTGGACCTTGAAGTATTGTAGTTTTCATTAGATCTGCAATTTCCTCCTTTTATGCAATACATATTAATCTACAAGGAACACCTTGTGGCTCTTACGTAGACATTTCCTCATTAAACTGAAAAGGTGGTAGTCCAGTAAAAAAGATACTGAGATAAGGCTCAACATCCAGGTTCCCTGATTCCTCTCAAAGCGACCCCGGTGGTATGAGGACTTCTGGTTTCACGGTGGAAAAGAGGACCATTTCCAGCTATGGAAGTCTTTGAAGTCAACAGTTACAATTTCGCTGGCATTCAGAGCCCTCATTGTGTAGTTAACACTGGCTATTTCAACGGATTTCGCGAATACTGATTGGTCGGTAGCTTCGCTCTCAAATCTCCGGTATCAACTGGCTGAGTAAATAGGTCTGCTGTGAAGCGTGCTGATTCACGTCCAGTAACCCGGTACTCCCAGCCACACACACACACACGTTCCAGTTTTCACGGAATGCTCATTCACTTCTATGCATAAACCACACACCCCTTTTATCCACATGCCCATTCAGATGTGCTTTTGCTAATTCACTCAGACTGCGTCAGCCATATTCTCACTTGGTCGATCTATGCCGGAAAGGGTTGCACCTAGCTCTCTCTGATCTTCTTCGTCTTTGTGGGTGTCGGAGTAGCTTAATCCGGCTAGCTTCAACGCTGTTGCCTCGGCGTGGTTAAAACCAACACTCCGGGGCCTCAAAAGGTGTACTTGCAACCTCAATGAAGGCTGAATTAGCTCTCAGCGAACTTCTCGTGGTAATCCTTCGCTTATTTTACTGCCATATCCAGTGGTGTCGAATACCGCCTCAATCTAATTATTGAATGGTTTGTCTGTCCACAGTTTTACCTTTAGCTGACACCTTGTTCATGCAGGATTCGTGGTACTTGTGGTACCTATAATCTTGAGTATGCACATAGTATTTCAAATACTTATAAAGGCCTAATAGATGTTAATACACATAGTACCTCAAACATGTTTTGAGCGCGAGTGCTACGTAGAAATCCGCCATGTAAACTTTCCAATAAATGTGCAATTAGATTGTCAAAAAGGAGGTGAGTGATTTGGAATTCGATTTTATTAAAACTATATATTCCCAGTGTGACGCAACCGTGGACATGCAATGGAAATCTGAGTGTTAAGATCTAGTCTGGAAGCATGTCAGCATCGACCTCGTCGTCGGCGAATTCATCGACCTGTCCGCGTTTCTTGACGGCGGTCCGCGGTCGCTCGGCGGTCGGACCTAGGGGGTCAGTGTAGTCGGGTTCCAGAGCCTGCTGAATGGAGTTGAAGGAATTGCGTGCGCTCAGTGAAGCAGCCTCTGGCTCGCCGGGTCCGTCTGTGTAGTCACCCACTCGTGATGGTCGTCCACCGCTACTCAGACGCGTTGCTGAGAGCTGTCGGCCTGTGCCAGGCATGAAGCGACGCATTGTAGAGCTGCTCTCGCGGCTTCCTGCAACGCAGATTCTTCTCGGTCAGCGTTCGCTATGCTTCTTCTACTTTAATATCATTGCTACTTATTAAACATAAAGATCTAATACAAAAGTGTGGCATCTGGTCCAATCCTGATGCTATGGAGGGAAACGTTGTGCCGAATGATTATTCCAAATCCCCATTCTGACGAACTCGCAGTCACTTAACGGAACAACTAGCAGCCTACTAATATGTCTTCACGAAAAACCTGATCCTGATTAAAGTGTCGTAAATCCTGCCAAGGCACATCGATAAAGTGCAAGTGGTCTGCCGAATAACAGCCTTTTCTAAATTAAAATCATCACCAAATCACCTTACCAACGCTTCCACTGTCAAGGCCGTCAGTGGGTTGGCCAACGGCGCCTACAACGATTGGCTGACGACTGGAGGCTGAAATAGCGCGTTGTTCGCGGGCTTCTCGAAGTTTCTCTGCTTTTTTGAGTCTATTTAGGTACTCACTCGTCTCAGGCAGGCCCATGTCCTTGTGAAGACGCACAAGAAATTGAAGACCTACGAAAAAGTCAAACTGTAATGTCATGTCAACAATCAACAACCACCTACCTTAACAAAAGCCTGAATGCCCTTTAATCGATTTTTCATGGGGTTGATACAGGGCAAACAGGGAATTCGTTGCTCTAGAAGCTGCTATTAAATGCTTTCATAACCTTTCATTACTACTCAGTCAAAAATGCAACTGAATAATAAGCAGTACGAATGAGATTACCACAAATAAAATTGCCAACCAATTTCTCTCCGTTGCATTGACCTTGACTTACTGCCAATTTTTCTTTCATATTAAAAGCATATTAAGTAAAATGTCGAACAGAAAGTGGAAATACTTACATTCGACATTTTCTGGGAATTGTTTGTGAATTTTTTTGTACATTTCAAGTGCCCTTTGGTAGTCACCACTTTTTCGGTAGCACGAAGCAATCATTAATTGCCATTTGATCTGATTCGGTCTAAACATTAATAAATCAGACATTTAAAATACATGGAAATCGTCTTAAATGCACACCACCTTTTGGACTTCGGTTAAACAACGAATTTTAAAACTGGTTTCAACCAGAAAATTAACTCAATTAATTAGCCTATCTCGCTGCGTGTAGAAGTGAAAGCCAAGGGATGATTGGTCAACGGCTTTTGACACAAACCTATCAGTGCTCTTTGGATAAATTGCATTCAAACCCGTCTTTGCATTTTGGTACAGGAAAGTGATGTCATTTTGCGAACCCCAGAGATAATAATGACAAGTCGTGAATCAAAAAGCGAGTTGTACGTTTGGAGAAAAAAGCCAAATCGCTAGGCCCATTCGAAGCATTATCCAATAGTAAATAGGCAAGAAAACCAACCAATCACGAAGAGGCCATCTTACTGCATAAGTGCCGCGCATTCAAAATAGGTTATGGACTTCTCGCAGAACTGCGATTCAATGTAGTAAGCACCAAGCCATTCGATCACGTCAAAGTTACACGGGTTGTACTTGAACGACTATTGGATGGAAATTAGATGAGTAGTCGCGTCAGTAGTGCGATGAATAAGCGGCTCTATATATTACTACTCACATCATAGTAGTAGGAGAACGCTTGCGACTTGTCGCCCACTCGTTCAAAGTAATCACCACAACGTTGAAGGAGAAAGGGGTCTGATGGGATCAGTCCATGCAGTTGAAGAAACCTACCAGAAAAACGAATTAACATTTGATAGGTCGATTGAAAACTAGAACTCCTTTTGAAGACAGGGTGAGGGAATGCACTGACTAGACTTGTTGAACGAGGAGTAAGTAACACATCATGAACCAATAAGATTGTGACCTGGCTCATGAATCAGCTGATTTTGAGGTAACGAGACGACTCAATGACCGGACTCACCAGTCCTGAGACTGCGAGAGATCGCCGATCCGTTCGTAAATGTCCATCATCTGATACATCACAAGAACGTTGTTACGAAGCATAACGTGGATCTTGTAGAAGGCGTCCAACGCCTCGTCAAAACGATCCATTTGTTTGGCGACAAGGCCGAAATTGTACAGGGCTTCCACGCACGTTGGATCGTCTTGAAGAGCCTCGCGATAGCAATCCCGAGCCCGATCCAGCTGACCTTTCTTGAAGAGAATGTTGCCCTTATTTACCAGGGCTAAGGGCAGATGAAAAGTAGCAAGAAAGTATGTAAATGTAGGAAACACCCGATTACTCCACCTTAAGTACTTCATTTCTAGAAATCCCAGAATAATTACCTGTCAATCTAATCGTGGAACAAATTTAAAGAGGTCATGACAGTTAGTAAAGAGAATGACTTTCAAAATTGAGAAAATGCGGAATAGTAACGGAATTCGGTAATTCTCTTCCACCACTAAGATATAGCACTTAACGTGTTTCAGTAGTAGGTGAGTTTGGGTTTCCAGTGCTAAAATGCAGGACTACCTGCTGGACTGTAGCGATCAGCGGTTAAGGCCTGATCGGCGTAGCGATCCGCCTGGATGAGATCACCTTCAAGGAAGTAGAGGAAAGACAGGTTGATAGCCGCTGTGCAGGCTGTCCTAGCGTCCTTATTTTCAAACGACTTCAACGTTTCGATGGCCTACACAACAAGGAAAAAAGCGCGAAGTCATTAAACATGATGAAAGATTCCAAAAAGGTATTAAATGGATCGAATTACCTTAAAGTGCAGCGACTTTTCGCCTTCCTAAAACCGAAAATGATCTTTTTGTCAATTAATTTGTGGATTTTGCAAACATTAAGTTGGATATTTTAAAATTTTTGCGCTTAGATGCGCATTTACCTTCAGGAACATGGTTAGCATCCTAGCCTAACCCACCGTGAATATCTCACCTTTTGAAAATCGCGTTGTTTGAGGTACATCAGGGCTTTGTCGATTTCAAGGTCGTGCGGTAGCTCACGGTAGGTGGACGTCTTGGTCTGTTCGATGCACCACGTGTAGCCCATGTTGAAATTAGGCTCAATCGCCGGTGCAATAATTTTTGCCACCATCTTAATGACGTTCTCAGCGTATGCCTTCCTGCAGCAAAATGTGTACTAATACATATCGAAAATCGATACGCTATTATAATCTTAGTCGAATAGAAGCCATTGTTACAAATTTTATTGGTCTTCGTGAACAACCAATCAACTAATAGCTCAAAAGTCATTGAAGATGTTCACACTAAAATTGCTCTTATTAGTTACAACACTACACGAATAAGAAAACCTCTAATCGCCCATTTTCTCAGTCAAAAAAAGGTTTGAACAGGAGTCTTAAGGACATCTTTAAGGAAGAAGTTTGGGTTATTTAGCATCTGTACAACTTACTTATCCTTTTCGTATTGCCGCAGTTCGTCATTCTTTATCACTTCTAAAATACTCTCGTAATGTTTATCATCCTAAAAGGTTAAAACACAGATTTGATGGCAAATCAAGTACTGTCTGCGGTTAATTTCACGCTTAAGGTACTTCTGCGGTCTACTGCCTGAGTAAGGCAAAGCAGATGATAGTAAAAAATATCACAATCCGATCTTTTTTTCTTACATTTGGTGACAGGTATCGTTCTTCATCGTCAAGGTGTAAGTCTACTTTAAGGAGCCTTTGAAATGTGTATTTCATTTTACTCTTGTCGCCAATTTTGAAGTAGCAGAGGATGAGATTGAAAGCCGTCTTAATTTCTGGCTCCTCCTGCATAATATGCTCGAAAGCAAAAATGGCGTCACCGTATTGGCGTAGCTTGACAAATGCTATTCCAATGTTTTGCATTATCTTTATTCTGGAAATTAAAAGATTCAAACAAATACATTTCCAGGTACTCAAATGTTAAGTAGTATAAGGTTATGTTAAGATAGATGTTTACTTGCCTTACAGATTTGTGGGTGTTTGGCACCTGGTCTAGACCCATCCGATACATTTTCACAGCTTTAGCATAGTTCTTTTGTCTGAAGTGTATATTCCCCATGTTAACCTTTAATCGGCCTACGATTAATGAACAGGACATTTTAATCTGGCAAAATATATTGGTTCTGTGGCACTCACTCATCAAACATGCCATTTTTAAAAAAAGTCGGCTAAATTTGAAGCTAACATTTAAGAAAAAATTAGCGTACCTGCGTGAGTAAACATCTTATTTCGGACAATAGCTTGGTAGGTGTTCAGTGCCTCATGTAGCATGCCTGCATTTTCGTAGCAATTGGCTAAATTAAAGAGGACTGAGTAGGTCAGGTCGAGGTTAATTTGGTCAGCCACACCAAGCTGTTCACGTTGTCTTACGAGAACGCGCTCTTTCCTGCCTGCCTCTTTGGCTTTTTCCAACGCGAGACTTATGTCCCCATCCGCAGTTGCCAGGCAACTCTCTTCAAAAAGTCGAGTGACCTAGAGAACTCAATGATATTAAGATAAAACTCTCTTGATAAAGGGGAAATGGATCAGGACTTTTTTCGCAAATGAAATATTTCAAACAAAAGCTGTCTGTTAAAATAAAGTAAGTACGTCCTTTTAAAGCTGTGATTTGTGCACCACATTTGAATAAACAGGGAGATATGATTATTTAAAACCGTTGTGAGCTTTAGCTTAATTCAAGTGCCTCAATAAAACAGGATACAAAGCCACAAAACTAACCTTTTTCTCCATCTCTTTCATTTGAGTTTCGGGACTGTCTTCCGATTTTTGTTCAAGAGGAGGAGCAGTAAGTTCGATTAAATTTCTCTCAGTGTTTGATGGGCTTACAGCAGATTGGTCAACATTAAATTTTACCACTGCTGTACCACGGCGAAGGGTTGACGAGAAGCCAGCTGCGCGGACCGAAGTCATAGGACGGCCAACACCTCCAACTGTTGTGGAGTCACTAGTAATAAGGTTTCGATCTGCATAAGGCACAAAACCTGTCCTCATTCGTTGTCCAGCATTTCCTAAGGCCTAAAAATTTCAGGGATTACAATAAGGTGCTCTAAAAACTAAACAGAAAATCAAAACTTGTTTTAAGGAAGAATAGATAAAGAGCCTACAGAGAGGTATTTATATGACATCACATGTCTTAATAAGAGGAAATGGTAGACTTTATTGGGAAATACTAAAATAATTTCACAAGTCATATTTTGGATAAGAGGATCTTAATCAAATGGTTTTACAGATATCTTATGTAGTTTTAAACAACAGTGCCTCGATTCTCGCATTTTGCATAGTATTAAACACAAAAAGTTAAATGGCTTAGCTATACATCAATAGAACATCCAAACGCTCATATATCGCGTCTGTTTAATTGATGCTGAATATCTTAAATAATAACACTTACTAAAGTAAATTAAAATAAAGAATAGGAAGAAATGGTACAATTTTATTTACTTATAGAAATGTTCGCATGTTCAGTTTTTTTTGGCTTCGACGTTTGATACGGGAAAATGAGGCACACTTTAAAGTAAGTTCCAAGCCAGAATGCGATTTCTTTATTCATATATAAATTTAAATAAGAACATGAAAGCATTTTCAAGTACGGAGAAGGTTTTTTAAACCACAAATTAAGTCAAGCCGTAAAGTTAAGTGGGCATCAGCCACAATATGGAGACTTCATTCCAATCATACAATTAGGGCCAAAATAAAATAGGATGCACAAACAACTTCAGATACTTCTTTGACCTAACCACCATGCCTAATACTCTGTCAAGGACTCTGACCACAATATTAACACTATTATCACAATTTACAAGCCCGAGCAACTACGGAAAAATATATAAGTTTATACTACTTGAGTAAACAAAAAAAAATAAAATGACGAATCCTTCGAGACGTTAACATAATCTTAAGGGAATATTGAACATACAAAA